GACGGGCAGGTGGGTAGCTGCCTGGGCAAAATTTGGCTCAACATTTTTTCCCCACATCTTTGTGTGGGGTTCTTGTTTTTGGTTCTGTATCCCGCCGCCGCCTCCTCCTCCGCCTCCCGCCCCTCCCGCCCACAACTTGTCCACACACACACAACTTGTCCTCACCAAATCGCTCACACACAACTTGTCCACACACAACTTGTCATCACACAACTTGCTCACACATAACGTGTGCTCACCAAATCACTCACTCACAACTTGCCATCACACAATGTGCTCACACACAACTTGTCTTCACCAAATCGCTCCCACGCAACTTGTCCACACACAACTTGTCTTCACCAAATCGCTCACTCACAACTTGCCATCGCACAATCTGCTCACACACAACTTGTCCACACACAACTTGTCATCACACAACTTGCTCACACACAACTTGTCCTCACCAAATCGATCACACACAACTTGTCACCACACAACTTGCTCACACATAACTTGTCCTCACCAAATCGCTCACTCACAACTTTCCATCACACAATTTGCTCACACACAACTTGTCTTCACCAAATCGCTCCCACACAACTTTCCACACACAACTTGTCTTCACCAAATCGCTCCCACACAACTTGTCCACACACAACTTGTCCACACTCAACTTGTCCACACACAACTTGTCATCACACAACTTGCTCACACACTTGTCCTCACACAAATTGCTCAGACACAACTTGCCATCACACAACTTGCTCGCACACAACTTGTCTTCACCAAATCGCTCCCACACAACTTGTCCTCACACCACTTGTCCACACACAACTTGCTCACACATAACTTGTCCTCACCAAATCGCTCACTCACAACTTGCCATCACACAATTTGCTCACACACAACTTGTCTTCACCAAATCGCTCCCACACAACCTGTCCACACACAACTTGTCTTCACCAAATCGCTCCCACGCAACTTGTCCTCACACAACTTGTCCACACACAACTTGTCCACACACAAATTGTCATCACACAACTTGCTCACACACTTGTCCTCACCAAATCGCTCACACACAACTTGGCATCACACAACTTGCTCACACACAACTTGTCATCACACAACTTGCTCACACACACAACTTGTCCTCACCAAATCGCTCGCACACAACTTGCCATCACACAACTTGCTCACAGTCTTCACACGACTTGCTCACACACACAACTTGTCTTCACCAAATCGCTCCCACACAGTTTGTCCCCACACAACTTGTCCACACGCAACTTGTCCACACACAACTTGTCATCACACAACTTGCTCACACACAACATGTCCTCACCAAATCGCTCACACACACAACTTGTCCTCCGACAACTTGTGCACACACAACTTCTACGTGCATTCTGCGTGGCAGGCGTGGCACTTATGGCACTGGGCTGGCTCTGGTGGCGCGCTTGGTTCCCAGTTGACGGCGTGGACGCCGCCGCTGTTTGCGTGGCAGGCGTGGTACTTGGAGACATGTACGTGCATTCGGCGTGGCAGATGAGGCGCTTGGCGACCATGGACCTCCACTTTGCGTGGCGGGCGTGGCACTTGGTGACATCGACTTCCACTTTGCGTGCCAGGCAAGGCGCTTGGTGACATCCACCTTCGTTTCACGTGGCAGGCGTGGCACTTGGAGACATCTACCTTCGTTTTGCGTGGCAGGTGTGGCGCTTGGTGACATCCACCTTCTTTCGCGAACCATCTTTCACACACCACTTTGTCACCCACCATCTTTGACAAACCATCTTTCACACACCACTTTGTCACCCACCATCTTTGACACACACACACACAACTTTGTCACACACCATCTTTCACACACCATCTTTGACACACTATCTTTCACACACCATCTTTGTCACACACCAAATTTCACACACCACCTTTCACATACCATCTTTCACGCCCACCTTTGTCACACACCATCTTTCACACACCACCTTTCACACAGCACTTTGTCACCCACCATCTTTGACCCACCATCTTTGACACACCATCTTTGACACACCATCTTTCACACCATCTTTCACACCACTTTGTCACACACTTTCTTTCACCACACCATCCTTCACACGCCATCTCTCACACACCATCTTTGACACACCATCTTTCACATCACTTTGTCACACACTTTCTTTCACCACACCATCCTTCACACGCCATCTCTCACACACCATCTTTGACACACCATCTTTCACCACACCATCTTTCACCACACCATCCTTTACACACCACTTTGTCACACACCATCTTTCACCACACCACCTTTCACACAGCACTTTGTCACCAACCATCTTTCACCACACCATCTTTCACACACCACTTCACTTTGTCACCCACCATCTTTCGCCACAGCATCTTTCACACACCACTTTGTCACACACCATCTTTCACACAACTTTGTCACACGCTATCTTTCACACAACTTTCACACACACCATCTTCCACACACAGCTTTGTAGCACACACACACACACAATTTTGTTTTACTTCTCGGTCCTCCACCACCTCCTTTGTCTTTCCTTTCTTCCCCGTCCCCGCTACAACATTTGGTGCTCATTATTGGAAGAAGTTGCCATGTGGGGTTATCTGGTCCTTTAATTCATAGGGTCGGTGGGTGTCGCCTCCGCAGAAGATGCAATAGGGCTGGCATGATTTTGGTCAACATCTTTCTCTGTAGTTGATGTAGCACCAAATTTTGCCAGCACTTTTGCCATCAACTTACCACCCCATTTGCCGCCAAAAAGTCTCTCACACCCTTTCTGTCAACATGTGCCATGTACACTCAACGCCTTTTTGTGACTGAAGGTGTTTGCAACCTTTTCTGCCCAAAAAGCTGCCATCAAATTTTGACACCTCTGCTGCCGCCAAAATGTGATTGCTAAACTTCCGGCTCAATGTTTGCCATGCAAAGTTGCCACCCCTTTTGCCACCAAAATACGGTTGCCACCATTTTTGCCATCACATTCTGCCATCAAACTTGCCACCAACGCTCCATTGCCACTGAAACTGCCACCCACATTGCCATATCTAACTGCCACCGCCACCGAACTTGCCACCAAACTTGCCACCTTAAACTGCCACGAACCTCTGGCATAAGATAGAACCATATGAAAGCATACCTTTAAAATCTTAGATAATTTATATTTATATATGTATATATGTATATATATATATACATATCTATCACATTTATATATATATATCAATACCTGGTTACCTACAAACCAAAGAATTCGTCGTGCAAATCCTAATACCCTAAGTATTGACCTGTCTGAATGCGTTTTCTTTGTGCAGAACGGGTTTTCCTCGTCTTTCTCGTCACAAACATGGACAGAAAAAACAACAAAATGTTGCCTACCCAACGGATAGCGAACGGTTTCTGACGCCTTTGAAAAGCGTTTTGAACGGGTTTGAACGGGCACGTGTTTTTCCATGTACGAGTACGGGTTTGAACGCAAAAAATATTGCCTTTTCTCAGGCAATTGAACGGGCTTGAACAGACTCAGATAAGCCTGAACGGGTTTGAGCGGTTTCCTCGTCCGCCAAGGAATTCGTCGGCAATTCCCAATACCTTAGGTATTTGGTTTTGAAATACAAATTCCTCGGTTTTTGTGTAAGCAGGTGTATGTGTATATATATATATCATATTAAATCATTTAAAATATCCTAACACCATCCACAAAATATCCACGAAATAAAAAAGGAAATATCATGATGTCTGCTGTGTGCTGCTGACCATTTTCATCGTGAAGATCACGCCTTGAAAACATTGTAAATACCGTGGTTTTGTTTTCCGAAGCGCAAAAAACATCGGTATCTACGGTGTTTTTTTGTCCCGAGAGTGTCAAAAAAAGGGAAAACACCACCTATGTGACGATTTTTAGGGCCCACAAAAATGCGACAGTAAGATGTGTTGCAAGAAGAAGAAGACGAAGAAGAAGAAGAAGAACAACAACAACAACAGCAAGAACAAGAACAAGAACAACCACCAGCACCACCACAACCACCACCACCACAACCACCACCACCACAACAACAACCACAACCACAACCAACAACCACCACCACCACCAGCAACAGCAACAGCAACAGCAACAACAACAACAACAACCACAACCACAACCACAACAACCACAACCACAACCACAACCACAACAACCACAACCACAACAACCACAACCACAACAACCACAACAACCACAACAACCACAACCACAACCACAACCACAACCACAACCACAACCACAACCACAACTACAACCACCACAACAACAACCACCACCAAAAACCAACAACCAACAACCAACCACCAACCACCAACCACCAACCACCACCCACCACCACCACCACCACCACCAACAACAACAACAACAACAACAACAAAAGCAACAACACCAACACCAGTACCAACAACAACAACAACAGCAACAGCAACAGCAACAGCAACAGCAACAACAACACCAACGACAACAAGAACAAGCAGCATTAGCTTGTGAATCTCACCTCAATGAGAACAGCTCGAGTTGAGTAGCCTAAAGGTGGGTCTTAATTACTTAGATCAGCGGATCCAGCGAAGTGCAACACGTCATATAGTCATGTCTATGGTGAGTGCCGCTCTTTACCCTTGGCACAATAACTTTTTCTTGCTGGTCAAACTCTGAATCTCTGGTGTGGGAAATTCCCTGCTATCGTCTTTTTGTTGGTCTTTTGTCAAGGAATTCCGACATTTTGTCCCTGGGTTTGTCCAAATAAATTTTGGGCACCCTAGTCCACCAGAGGATCTGGGCAAAACCAAACAAATATCATCATCGCTAAAAAAAATCTTACATTTGGTTTTACATCTACGTTTTGGCTACATATCCGCCCTCAACTGGACAAATCCAATATATAGTGCTATATAAGATCATATTGTTGGATAATTGTGTGTATATAGTGTATAGAATGTATTTATGTGGCCATACACAACATTAATCACCACTTTGCCGCTCCACATCCGTGCCTCCCCTCTGCCAGCGCTGGTAGGGCGACAAACCGATCTTCGTCAAGGCCAAGGTGCTAGGTCGGGTAATCCTTAAAGGGACACCTTGGAACCCCGAAGCACCGCAGGGGCCAAGGCCGATGTTTGACAAAACAAGGCTACTTGGGGGTGCGGCTCCAATATGTTGTAGTTAATGGTCAAGGAACCATAATTACGGGGTGACCTGGCCCAGGGATTTAAAAGGGCGGGTTTGAGGTGGTCACTCGTCAACAGCTATGTTTATAAACGCAAAATTAACTGAGTTAAATGAATAGAATCAGCTAAGTAACTCCACCAGGTTTTGGTGTTGGGCAAGAACTTAGCTATAACTATCACAGTGTCAGTTCATGATGGAAGAAATCATCAGGTTAGAAATGGTATAGCCGGATAGTCACAGCTAGGGGACTTTGGAAGCAGGATGAAGAGCAAGCACATTGGCAATCATGTGGATGGAACCACTCAGTCAACATCATTCATGCAAGATTGGTCATTCAACGCATCTGAAAATGGGACTAATGCGGGCAAAACAATGTCATAAACCACCCATTTGGGAATGGTTTATACCGATTTATGGTGATTTGGGGGATGGCTCACTATTGTTTTGCTGACATTAGTTAATGCAGAACTCAACAGGAATAAGAATTGAAATGCCACCAAGCCAAACAGGGCCGCATGACTAAACCCTGTGCAGGCAATAAGAAAAAGGATAGTAATGCGACACAAACACCAACGACAAGTTTTTGCGGTCTCAACCAATAGAAACACACCATGCAAAGAAATCAAACAGTCAAACAAAAACATGGTGATACAAAGCAACTTGAGTGAAAGCCTGAGGTAGTTCAGCCTCAGATATCATCGGAAAAAAGGCACCGAGATACGCGCGAAAAGCAAACTCAGTCCGTACGGAATCAACCATATGCCTGCAGTCATGACTGACAATGGCAATGAGCAGGCAGGACTGCGGTTTTCGTTTTATTGCAAACCATTTTCTATATATTCTCCCAACTTTCGCAAGGAATTCAATATTTCAGTGTCGTTATGTTCAAACGCTTTCTGAAAGAAATACAGCACTGGGCGAGAGGAAATATCACTGCAAAAAACTCTGCAGGCTGCATTAGTGAAGCATTTTAGATCATTCCTGTGGCACATTTGGATGCTCACACTCCTGGACTACATGCTGGGTGCTGAGCGATCTTGCCTGAGCGGCGTTCAACACACTTTGTAGTGACAGCGGGTTGCGGCAATCACACCCTTTCAAGGATTACATAAATTTGAAATGGACCCTTCTTTAACGTTCCTTAATCACAATTGCCGACCAACTGAATCCACCGGGTCACACCAAAACGTCGGATGGACAATGTGAAACCCAACCATCTGGGTTGCCTCGCCCCTGGGGTAGATCAAATACGGGAAGCGCCAAACATTTCCAGCACGTGCGCCTTTATATCAACAACCCCAACCCCCTGCCAAACCAATGTCGTCCGGAGAAAAAAGAGGGTAGGTTTGTCAATTAACGGGTGGAAAAAGGACATCTCTATACCGAACTAAATGTTGGTCTCGTTGTTTGGACAGGATTCACCATCTCCGCATAAGGTCAAACCACAGGATCGCAACCATGAGGTCTCATTCGGCACATTGGACCGAATGAGGCTTCTTCCATCTGGCAAATCCAGTGTCTAATGTGGCCATACCTCTCAATGATGAACCGTCCAGTTCAAATCATCATCCTGCAAATGTAGTTCATTGCATCTCTCTCTCTCTCTAACACAATGCCATGGGATGGTTACAAGCCATCATGTTGGGAGCCTCACCTCAAAGCAAACCACAAAGTTTAAAGTCACAACCCTTTGGGCACCTTCCAGTGCCATTGCCATATGATGGGTCAGAGGTATCAATAATCCGGGCACAACCCCCGTGAGCTCATCCCAGTTCGAGACTGGGATTCATGACCAACAGCAAGCACGGCTTTTCTATTTCTGCAATTTTCTGCTTTTTTGGTGGAGTGATTTGTTGGAGAATGTTGGACAAATGGAAGATATGCTAACAACTACTGTATTGTCGGCTGTCCCATGGATGATCCTGGGCAAAGCTTTGCCGGAATTTCTTCACATTTCAGCTGTCATAAGCCCCATGGCAGATAGTCGATATCCCAAGTTTGGTATCAAAACTTCCTTTTTGGGGGGTTTCAGCACGTCAGTTTTAGAAACATTGGAAAGCCAAGGTCTCCAAATTATCTGAATGTCCCTACGAGGCCGAACATTGCAATGAAATCCTTGTGGGCGGCATCTACTTTGAAGCCAAGAATTTGCCCCCCAGCCAAAACGATGTGGAATAACGCAACCATTGTTTGGGCTGGGGCTACAAAGTTTGCTCAACAGGTTCACAGATCGCACCTGTGTTTCTCGGTTGTGTCGAGTCAGCTGGCATTTCCATATAGTTATTTAGTGTTTTTTCAAACATACGCCGCATCATGTATGTATGTAAATATATATTATATATACACATATATATATAAATAAATAAATAGATAGATAATTAAATGAATAAATGAATAAATAAATAAATAAATAATAAATAAATAAATAAATAAATAAATAAATATTATGGCAGTAAAGTATATTATATACACCTTTCTGTCCTTGTCTCAGCCTTCTAGGTTGCATGAGTTGGGGCAACTGGTTCTTTCACGGGATGTCGGAAATCATATTGCCAGGAACAGAGATGACTGGGTTTCCGACAGGCTGGGGTCCACACCTTTGCCACCGCACCTGCAGGCGAGACAGTTCATTTTTGAAAGCTTGGAAGTGGCGCGGCGCGTGGTTTCTCCCATGTCTGCTATGAGACCACTGGTTCACCTGGTTTCGCCTGTGGCTATCTCAACAACAGTGTGGGTCCTTTTCTATCTGTTGTGCATTTTGCGCTTTGCGTCTCGTTGCACATTGCGCTCTGCGCAGCGTTTCTTCTGCCTTTGAACCTTCTTTGAAGGTCGCAGGTTCTGTGCTATCTCCTGTAAAATAGGATCGTCCCAAAAATGCATCCGCAGCAGACTTCCCTGCTTCTTTGGCAGAATTGTGCTATCTCCTGTAAAATAGGATCGTCCCAAAAATGCATCCGCAGCAGACTTCCCTGCTTCTTTGGCAGAATCGCACGCTTTGCCATGGAACTCATGCTTCGAAAGACCAGGAAGATGCTGGAGAGCTCTGTCAGGAAGTAGCAAAGTGCACCGGTATCTGCCCTCCCTGTCCTCCACCTGACAAACGCCTCAGCATAAGCTTCGTTGCTGCCTTGTCTCCAACAATGCACAGCCAGTCCAACCACACAGCTTGATGTGGCCCCAGTCCTTTACCCGTTCGCATTTAGACACCTGAAGATAAGAACTGCCTATGCCTAGTATAGACTGTGCCTTTCACACATCTTCTGCGAAACCATTCCCCGGCCTCCATGACACATTGACAACAAATCAGCATCGAATTATGGAAAAAACATTTACTTCTCCGCTTCTAAACCTTTTGACTGGCCCTAACCAAGTCGAATGCCGAGAAAAGGAAAAATCCTCAGCAGCCATGTCGTGGGAAGCACGCCCCGAAAAATGCGAGTTTACCATGATGGAAACACAAAATCATGGCTCTTCCAACTTCCAATGGTTGCTATAACCCCGAGATGTCGAGGAAGTAGCGGGTAGTATCATTCCTATTATCGACAATTCATTTCGTGTGTGATCTCTGTCGGGGTCGTGACTGAGCCCAGCACTGGAAGAAACGACTTGTCGCGCGCTTGAAGTTTCCGTCGTACTTGGTCAGTCAAGTCAAAACCCCAGAGCTTCCCAGGTTTCACAGACTGGGAAGCTTTTGATGCCGCGTAAGTAGACAACATTGGTCCGAACAAGACTTCACACAGGAGGCATAGAAGAGGGAGGGCTTAAGTGCGATCAATTAAAGTCCGAAAACGAGGAGAATAAAGAAGGTCACGAAGAAAAAAAGGTAACGAAGAGACAGAAACAATCAGAAGGAAGCCCTCTACAGCTTCCCCTTGTCGTTTGTCTGCTTTCATGGTGAAAGTTTATCTACTACTTGTCACATCTTCATTGGCAACCTGCATTTCACTGCTCGGAGTCTAAGCAAAGAACGGCTGCTGGGACATGACCATATTCTCTTTGTGGCCCGACCCGGCCACAGCTGTGAGCCACAAGCCGTGGGACACTGAGAAATCCAATTCATTTTCCAACTCATTTCGTTGCGGGTGAACTGATTACTAATATTATCTACAGAATATCTACATACATATCATATACATACCCGCTAACACAAAAACAAGGAATTTGTATGTCAAAACCAAATACCTAAGATATATTTGGGAATTGCCGAGGAATTCCTTGGCGGACGAGGAAGCCGTTCAAACCCGTTCAAGCTTATCTGAATCTGTTCAAGCCCGTTCAATTGCCTAAGAAAAGGCAATATCGTGCCCGTTCAAACCCGTTCAAAACGCTTTTCAAAGGCGTCAGAAACACCGACAAACAAAAAGCAAACACAGAGAAGCAGAAAACCAGAAAAACAAAGCAGAAAAGCAAAAAAACAAAGAAACGGAAAAACATAAGAAGTTATGCAAACAAAGCTAACAAACAAAACTCTAAATAAATGGTTCCCCTGCGTTGCCAAAAAGTCAACGGACAACGTTTTAGGCACAATGTGACAACTGGGACTGGGATTATGTTGATTTGACTGCTTACAGTAGCCAACAGAAACAAGAGAATCATCTATCCAAATAAAGATGCTCCCGGAAATGGTGGATTTCACTGACAGAACTGGGTAACTTACCCAATGCAACTGGGAATTTCATGAACATCAAGGTTTGGGCCGATGGGCCGTGATGACTACCCTCTGCAAGTACACACCCAGCTGGGGCACTGGGGACTTAGTGTATCAGATGTATCAGTGTATCCGAATTGAATGTTCAGGTCCCCGGGTCGAACTGGGGCCCCCCACACAACTTGTGGCCATCGGAGGCAACACAATGGGAGGCCTTCATAGCCCTGGCAGCGCGCAAAAAATGTGGAAATAAGGGAAGCCCAAAACCCATGGAACCCATGGAAGATATTTATGTGGTTTAATCATGTCACTAGATTTCGCTGAATTATTTTCTTCAGGCATCCGCGCGAACGCTTCACAATTCTTCAAAAGAAAGGTACTCGCAGTTTGTGGGCCCCGGGTGGAAAACCGCAAAGAATGATGTGGAAATGATAGAGAACAAATGTCCCATCCCCCAAAACACGACTTAACACCACTACTTCCCAATAGTTCCCTTTCCTGTGAATTCGGTGACAACTATCGCACAAAATGGTTGTCATAACAGAAACCTCCATCTGTGGGCCCCCAAATGTATGTGACCCAAATTAAAAAAATGGGCGCACAGGTCCCTGGAAAAATATCAATCCCTATCTTTTTGATGGCGAATGAAATGAATTACCTTCTATGTCTTTGGGAGGCCCCATATCCTTAGAATGTTATCCCACTTAGTAGCTGGCAAACAACGCTTGCTAATAAATTCCCAAGTTAGTTTATCCCGGACATGAATGAGTTACACTTAACTTAAAAATCTTAAAACTATGTTAACAACCAATTGCTAAATTGGGTGATCCTCCAAGTGGCTCTACCATCACCATCAACCTACCTGTCTCCGGTACTGTGTGGTCACTCGCCCACCTGATTGTCTCCAGCCCGGTGGCTTAGACCTGTCCGCTTTCACAAAGACTTTTGCGCCGTTTTTTGGCCAGGATAACTTCACTGTATTCAGTCTATGAAAAATTAAATACTGCCATTTCACCACAACAAAAAAGATCCCTAACCCTATGGAGGGGGAGG